TGGTTGCCTCATATAGATTTCTTCCTCCAAATCACCATAAAGGAAAGCTGTCTTTACATCTAACTGCTCAATATGTAAATTCTTTGCAGCTACAATTTTCAACACCAGTCTAATTGTAGACAGTTTTACGACTGGAGAGAAAATTGCATTGTAGTAAATACCTTCTTTTTGCTGAAAACCTTTGACAACCAATCTTGCTTTGTAGCATTTACTCTCATCGTGCTCTTCTTTGATCCTGTAAATCCACTTGTTATGGAGTGCTTTCTTGCATGGTGGTAATTCAGCTAATTCACACGTATGATTTGACATAAGCGAGTCCATCTCATCTTTCATGGAAGACTTCCACTTGACTGAATCTTCCACCTGCATTGCTTCATCATAACACTCTGGTTCACCATTGTCAGTCAGCAACAAGTAGTGCAAAGAAGGTGAATAACGTTGGGTTAGTTTAGAAATTCTGGAGGAGCGTCTCAGTTTTGGTGTGCGTTGTTCTTCTCGAACTGCTTCAGGATTGATTTGATCATCATTTCTAGAAATCTCCTCGAACTCAGCAAATTCTTTTGTTTCAGCTTCGGTATTGGAGCTACTTTATTCTACAGTTGACCTGTCTTTGTACATCACATTCTCATTGAAAATGACATCTCTGCTTCTGATGATCTTTCGATTTTCGTAGTCCCAAAATCGGTAACCGAACTTATCACCACCATAACCAACAAAGACGCATTTGTTGGACTTGGCATCAAGTTTACTTCTTTCAGCAGAATCTATGTGTATATAAGAAATACAACCAAACACTCTTAAGTGTAAAAGGTTTATTCTTTCTTGCTCTAAACTTCCTCTGGTATTTTGTCATCCAAAGGAACTGAGGGCCCATGGTTGATCAGGTAAGTTACAGTGTTGATAGCTTCAGCCCATAGAAATTTGGGCAATCCGGCATGTATCCTCATACTTCTGGCACGTTCATTCAGAGTTCTGTTCATGCGCTCTGCTACGCCATTCTGCTGCGGCTTCATGGGAACTGTTGTCTCCATCTTGATCCTATTATTTGCATAGAAATCTATGAATCTTCTATTTTTGTACTCTCCTCCATTATCAGACCTCAACCGCTTGACTTTTAAACCAGTCTCATTTTCCACCATGGCTTTCCATTTTCTGAAGGTATCAAAGACTTCTGATTTCTTCTTCAGAAAATAAACCCACACCTTTCTCATAGAATCATCGATGAAGGTGACATAATATAACGAGCCTGCAAGAAATGGAACTGGAGATGGTCCCCATACATCAGTATGAACCAACTCTAACTTTTCAGCCTTGAGTGTCTTTCCAATCTTTGTAAAACTCACTTTCTTTTATTTTCCAAAGATGCAATCCTCGCATAGTCCGACATCTACGCTCTTTAGATCCGGCAGCTTCCCTTTTGACAAAAGTGTCTTCATCCCTTTATCGCTCATATGACCAAGCCTTTGGTGCCATAGGTTTGATTTTCCATCAGCATCTACTGCAACAATGATATTCTCTAAATTTGATGTTACATAGAGAGTACCAGTCTTCTTACCACGAGCAATGACGAGTGCTCATTTGGTAATCTTCCATTCACAGTTTGAAAAGGTTGTGCTATATCCTTCCCCATTAAGCTATCCTACAGAAATCAAATTTCTTTTGAGGCCAGGAATATGTCTCACTCTCTTCAGCGTCTAGGTGTTCTGGTTTGGAAACTTTAATCGGATGTCTCCTTTTCTGACGATCTTCAATGTTTCATCATCAGCTATATGAACCCTCTCAATATCACCACTGACATAGTTCTCCATGATTTCTTGGCATGGGTGGAGTGGAAAGATGCTTCTGAATCCAAGATCCATGATTCAATCAGACTGTTGATGCTTAGAATCATGACATCACCTTTCTCCTTTGTCATGTTGGCAGATTCTTGTGCGTCGGTATCTTTCTTCTGTGCTTGACAATCTCTTTTAAAGTAACCCTTCTTGCCACAATTATAACAGGTAAAATCTTTCTTTCCTGCTCTTGATTTTCCCCTTCTGGATTTCGATCTGCCAATATTTGAATTTCTTTCTGAAGTTCTTCCTCTAGACTCCATGTGCAAGGCTGAGGAGGTTGATGTTTCACCCGATTCTCTCCGTCAAATTTCTTCACTCAATACCAGATCTCGAACATCGTCGAATTTCAATTTGTTGTTTCCCGACGAGCTGCTGACTGCTGTTACAGTAGCATTCCAACTGTCTAGTAGAGATGATAAGAGAATTAAAGCTCAAACTTCATCATCAAATTCAATTTCCATGAAACTCAACTGGATTGTGATTGTGTTAAGTTCATTAAGGTGTTGAGCCACTGATGCCCCTTCCGCCATCCACAAATTGAATAATCACCTCATCAAGTGCACTTTGTTTGAGGCCAATGGCTTCTCATACATACTGGAGAAAGCCGCCATAAGACCCGTCGTGGTCTTTTCCTTTGCTATGTTGAAAGCAACATTGCGGGATAACGTCAGTCGGATAACTCCGAGGGCTTGTCTGTCAAGAAGAGCCCAGTCTTCATTCTTCATGCCCTCAGGTTGCTTTCCTGAGAGGGTTGATATAGATTTTTCTGGTGCATAAAATCTTCAATCTGCATCTTCCAAAAGTCAAAGTCCGCACCGTCAAACTTTTCAATTTTCACATTCCCTTCGTCTGCAGCCATCGCTCTCACTCGAATCTGGCTTCTTTGGATCGTTTCTGACAATTTGTGCGAACCACCGTGTATATAACACCTTTTTCGACAAATTTGTATCGCCGACAAAATTTTACTATTCACAAAATTTACTATTCACATAAATAGTAACCCGAAATAGTAATCTCGCAGAAAAATTGACAAAATTCACAACCAAAAGCTCTGATTACCAGTTGTTAGGAAATAAAACGAGTACGAGTAATTTCTCTATAACCAGATTAGTGAGAATGCGAAATAAAAGCGGAAAAATAATACCCGAAATTGATAACGGAGTTCAACCAATTGTGCTTACGTCTTCGGACTGCTGCAGATCTTTTACTAAGAGAGAAAATTTACAGGTGTTTACAAAACACTCACTACTCACAAGAAACTCTCTAGTATTGGGAGAAAGAAATGATTTGAGATTTTGGAATGATTTTGAAATTAAATAGGTAAGAGTATTTATAGTTGAAGCTTAGGGACTAATCTTGTAATTACCCTAAAATACAATGACTAAATGTATGATTTAACCATTGCCATTTTCAACACAAATTTCCAACATTTGAAATAAGCACCATTCGGTGTCAAACCTTGTTGAATTTCCAACAATCTGGTGCCTACCCTTTGAAAACCCATGCGCCTTTTTCCTTTGTTGAAAATGCAGCCTCTTTTTTTGACTTTAACAATCAAGCTCAAGGTTTCGTTGTTCTTACTCTGTTTCGCCTCTTTTCGCTGCATTTTGTTTGTTTTTCGTTAATTTCGCAAGTGTTTATTATCTTCTTCAATTGATTCTTCTTCTTTGGATTGCTTGAGCTTCGACACTCTGTTTGGAATTGTGTTTGGATGATATTTGATATTCAGAATCTGACTACTATTTCTTACGTCTCATAAGGCAATGATTTGGCATGGATTTTTTTGGTACGATCATTCACTCTGAGCTAATGATTCCAAATTTAACCGAGTCAGTTGGATCGCCGAATTCTCCAAATTTGTTCCGATTCAAAACTCGAGCTGTTCTATTTTCTTCAAAGTTTACGCCAACTTCCCTTCTTCTGCACAGCATTCCTTTTGTTGTTCTTTGAATCGCAACGATATTCAATATCAATTTACATTTGATTACGTACCTTTGATTTATGTTCTCTTTCTTGGATTTTGATTTTCAAAGTTCGATTCAAGTTTCTTCATAAATTTTCAATTTTCATTTCTACATTTGGAGTTTAAAATCTTTCAAAAGCTTGAGCAGGTGATGAAGAAGAGGCGGTCAAGGACCTACCAGAGCTCCGATAACCGGAATATATCATCCTTCAGGTCATTAATCCCATCGAATAGGGAAAAGGCTGAGACGACGTCATGCTTGTCGAGCAGCTCATCCAGTGGCATCTCTAGCGCGCGAAGCCAACGTAAAACGAACAAAGTTGAGAAAATACGAAGGAAGAGGCGCAGCAGCGACTCAAATCACATGCGGCGCCGAGCCAAAGCCATTTTGAAATTGCTTTCCGGTGGTTGCTTCTCTGAGGTTAACATTCGTCGAGTGCTTGGCGACAGTCCAGACACTAGCAAAGTACGCAAAGCCCTTCGAATGTACTCTCTCTCTGTCTTTTTTCTTCTTTACTACGTGTCACCATAATATATCATCCTCGAGTCTGTTCATGTATGTTCTTAGGGTGCACATAAGATCAGTGTAACGAGGAAGTTATTTATGATTGAACGGCTGGAAATACATATGGGAAACTTGATCGTTGGATCCACCTGGCAGAAGTCGTTGGTTATAAACTTTTGACGAATTAAAGGTGGAAGATGGTGCGAATGTTAGATTCTTTTTCAAGCCATCTGTGTTCTTAGGGCCCTACAAAGCACGTACTTTTCTTGCGTAGAACCAAGGCATGTTCATGGTGCATATGACATGTATGAAAATCAATGCTGACATGGGAAATGGGGTTTACCTGTTTTGTCATGTTATCTGGATGTTGAAAAGATAAGCTAATCAAGCTTTCTTGTCTGACCCGGGTGCTCATCAAAGGAGACATCTTTTGTTGCTTTCTTGTTACGAGTGCCTTGTAATGATGGGCTATTTCCTTGTAAGACAAGTCCGGTCCGGTGGAGATGGGACTTCTTCCAAACTGATATGCCGTCTCCACTACCTGCGCAGATAAAGAAAATAATTATGCTTGTTCTATCATAAACAAAATAATCGATGCCTATCATCAATTCCCCTTATCATTGGTTCCAAATATATAAGTTATTCTACTCTAGGCGTCGCTAGTGTTTCCGAACAGAGTAAAAAGGAATGTCACAGCGAACTATCCTTCGTTTGGCTTCAAATGGTTCCAGAAAAGCATCATTATCATCATCATCTATTAACCAAACCGAAGCTCCCTGCAAAAGGAATCACTTGAGTTCCAAGCATTTTGGTAGATAAAAGATGCAAGGGATATTTACCTCAATAGATTTATTGTCTTCAGGCCCAGCTTGATATACTTTATGAGGAGCATCCATAGAAAAATGGGCATCTAGTGGACACACATCGTCTGGCAAGAATTCATTCAGCAGCAGTTCCTGTATGGTGGACAATTTAAACTGCCATATAGTCACCAACTATTAGCATAAGGTAATTACAATAGAAAATACTAGCTCTTTGATAATGCATCAGGGTCTCGAAATTTGGGATAAAAAGCTTTACCTCCGACAAGTTTCCCAAAGTTTTCACAATTTCAGAAGCGAGAGTTTCCCTACTTTGTTCTGGAGCTATCTGAATTTCCGAGAGTCTTTAAAGCTACAGCATCATCTTCTTTAGATCCATAAACATTTGTTGGATGGTCAGGCTCAGTGTTAACTGCCTGTAACTTACGATCGTCCATCAAGCGCAAAAATGGATCATCCTATGGATAATAGAACCATGGCACATCAAAACAAGATCGAATAACCAGTCAGATGAAACCATGGCACATCCAAAAAATGGATCATCCTATGGATTGATATTTTGCATTAGAAAGAAACTTCAACATTATTCCGGAAGGAAAAGCAAGTATGGTTTCGTGAATGAGAAGTTTCATTACATTATTTCTGTAAGTGCAACCTTGGCAGAATCAATGATAGGGCGAATATTAAGGTTGTGTTTGTTTTCACTGTGTAAGCTCTTCAAACCACTTATGTCTGCGTCGCGCAGACCACGCGCAGACATTAGGCTTCGCATACTGTTTGTTTTTTAGAAAACAGAAGCTCTTCAAACGTCTGCGCGAGCTCTTCTTGGTGCAGACTTGGTTTTATATCTTCAAAGGTCTTCAAACCTCTTCAAGAACAATTATAAAATATAGTTATTTATTAAAATAATTTTAAATAATTTAATAAGGTCATTTATTTTAAAATAATTTATTTTAAAATAATTTATTTTAAAATAATTTATTATAAAATAATTTACTTTAAAATAAATTATTATAAAATATGGATTGATTTATTTTAAATAATTTATTAGTACGAATTGATTTATTTTAAAATATGGATTGATTTATTTTAAATAATTTATTAGTATGAATTATTTATTTTAAAATATGGATTGATTTATTTTAAATAATTTATTAGTATAGATTGATTTATTTTAAAATATGGATTGATTTATTATTGTAGTTGTATAGATTGATTTATTTTAAATAATTTATTAGTATGAATTGATTTATTTTAAAATATGGATTGATTTATTTTAAATAATTTATTAGTATGGATTGATTTATTTTAAAATATAGATTGATTTATTTTAAATAATTTATTAGTATGGATTGATTTATTTTAAAATATTGATTGATTTATTTTAAAATATGGATTGATTTATTCTAAATAAATTATTAGTATGAATTGATTTATTTTAAATAATTTATTTGTATGGGTTGATTTATTTTAAAATATGGATTGATTTATTATTGTAGTTGTATGGATTGATTTATTTTAAATAATTTATTAGTATGGATTGATTTATTTTAAAATATGAATTGATTTATTTTAAAATATGGATTGATTTATTTTAAATAATTTATTAGTATAGATTGATTTATTTTAAATAATTTATTTGTATAGATTGATTTATTTTAAAATATAGATTGATTTATTATTGTAGTTGTATGTATTGATTTATTTTAAATAATTTATTAGTATGGATTGATTTATTTTAAAATATGGATTGATTTATTATTGTAGTTGTATGGATTGATTTATTTTAAATAATTTATTAGTATGGATTGATTTATTTTAAAATATGGATTGATTTATTTTAAATAATTTATTATTGTAGTTATATGGATTATTTAAATTTCAGTATTGTAAAACTAAAATTATTTAAATCTCAATATTGCAAAACTCTTTTAAGTTTAAAAAGTCAGTTTATTTATATTTCAGTTCATTTTAGCAGTCTGCAGACGTTAAAAAACAAACAGTCTTTTTCTTGCAGACTGCAGACTTTTGGTCCACATCTTCTGCTGCAGATGCCTGCAGATGTGGTCCGCAGACTGCAGACCTTTTACCTCTGTAAAAATAAACACCACCTAAATGCTTTTGACGAGAATAGGATCATTGAAGTTGCCAAGGTGAAAAGAGATCTACGACGTGACGGTGAAAGTGGCCCTGCAGCATTAGCGGAAGTACAATTGATTTCTGATTTGATAACAAGATATAGTAAACTCCCATAACTAATACTTGGAGGTAACCTACACATAGATAACATGTGCTTGCCCGCTTTTGCACCATTGATCTCTGGTTTGATGTCTTAAATTTTACATGGTATCAGAGTTGGTACTACCGCAAGTTGTTATCCTCTTGATAATGATTTTATTATCCGTACATATAAAGTTTATAATACATGTTTGTTCCTACACTTGAGGGGGAGTATCATAGTAATTTAATTTAATTTAAGTATTCTTTTATTACCTGGTCCAATTTTTTGTTTGTTGAGAGGGGGTCATGAAAGTCGAAGGCAAGAGAAAGCAGACATTGTAAAAATATTCGATTCCAAAAGAGAATTACAACTTTGGGTGCTCACCTCCTTTCTCGAGAGAGATGCTTCTCAGTGACAAAGCTAGCTGGAAACTACGATCATTCAGAATTGAATCGAATCGTAGGTACTGGGCATTGCGATTTCATATATTCTGCTATTCTCCAGCATTACATAAACACAAACATACAAAAATTAAACTCAGAAATAGAATGAATGTCAGTTTGATGCTATGGGTAACCACCAGAAGAAAGTTTTCTTTCCAGTAAGCAGCTTAGACAATCAACTACACAATACATGGATTTAATAAGATCTCCCCATAAGATCCCCCAAATTGATGAAAGCAAGAGACTAATCTGGGTGCTACTAAGCCAAAAGGAATTGGCCTCCTGAGGTTTGACAAATAAAACAACTTCATGAAAAAGATCACAAATTTGACAAATATCAAACAAATCATGTTTATCTTTTGAAACATTCATTTTACAAGAAGTTTTAGGCATATCGGTAAAGAGCAAATCACTGCTGCCTGAATCAGGTCTTGTACTTCCTTACTATGTTAGTCAAACTCCGATGACAATGTCTGACAAGGGTATGTGTCCGACTCCGATATGTGTATTTTCATTTTTATTCAAGATTTTCCTTTATTTGGAGGATCCTTGGAAGATCATATCCATATACTTATGTTTGGATTTGTATTAGCCATGAATGAATAGATGAGAAAATTTAGAGAGGAAATTGTGAAATACTCACGGATTCTGTTTTTGAATTGCTCGGAGGATTTTCATCTGTTGCCAAAGATACCGGTGGACTTATTATAGTGTATGTTCTTGTGTAAGATGACGTTAATCTAATCAGAATCCCATTTTGAATGTTTTCTAGTTGCTTCTCACTAGCAACAATTTCTTTATTCTATAGACAAGCATTCTCCCTTGAGAAGGATTTCTCTTTCTTTAGCTTCTCGAAAAGGGCAGCTGAAGAATAAAAGACGGAGACGGTTCTCGAAAGCGTTCTTGGAATACCTGAGCCTTTCTTTGTTACTCCAGTAACTGAGGATGGTTGAGGGCAAACTAGATGGAACAAGAACAACAGAAAAGATACGGTGGGCTCCGATCCGTATCTCATGGTCAGGGTGGACCATAGCCGGGAGTAATTGATGGAACAATGCCTCGGGAAATGCCTATGTGAACGAAGTAACTCCAAACAAAAAGGGTAAACTAAAAAAAACGAGGGTATGATTTGGATAGGATGGATTTGGAATTGAGGCTATGATCTGCGTTGAGCGATAAATAACACGGATTGTAGTTCTTGCTATAACTGTAATATTTGGGATATTCTCAAAACATCACAGCCATAGCATCAAGAATTGGACCTGCATCACCAACCTGTTCACAAGAAAAAAAATGAAAAAAAACTAAGTAATTAGCTTAGATGATCTAACCCGAGTTTTAGTAACACATCTACTCAAGAATGACAAAAGGGTCTCATCGTATGTGATAACTGTACTAGACAATCATCCACTGCTTCTTTGAAGCTCTTGTTCCAATTTATTATTTCAGTTCCCATAGTTGCCCTCCGTAAATGCCTCATAACATCACTAACTGCACTGATTATTGCTACAGAAGCCTCAACTTTTGAGTCTCTAGCAAGGGATGTTATAACTTCTACAATTTGAAGTTGCACGTCAGGTTGTTTGAGGACACTTTTGTGATCGAGATTCTTAACTAGTACGGACAGCAGAAGGTGTGCATTCTGTCCTGCAAACGTGGGGAAACCGATAGTATCACTTTTTCTCACCGTCTAAAGGTCATATATATTTTTAGGAAAAGCAGAAGAACAGAAAATTAATCAGAAATAGATAATAGGAGGGGGCAGAAGAAAAAAAGGGCATGAGTTCCAGAACTATCTGTTAAAATATGCATTGCCCTTAAGACCGGCAAGGCAATACCATTTTTAGAGGACCATAACTTTTCCTTATCGAAGTAACGAAACATAGACTCATGAATGTGCCGTGTTGTTGTAGCTTCCTTTGCTAGTTTTGCCATATTATGTAAGCAAACCCTGGACCAGAAGCAGGGATTCCAGGCATCTACCCTGGACCAGAGGATGTGTGGGGTCTTCATCAAGACTCTTTTCAGCGATCATATGCATCCTAAACATTTCTTTCATCTTGTTCAGTAGATCGAGTTGAGAGTTTGTGATATCAACCTCAATTTGTGTCAACTTACTTCTCACTTCTTCTTGCATCTCTTTCTGCTCTCTCTCAATTTTGGTTAGCCTATCCTCTATTTCTTTAGGCATTTTTCTTTTGCGGGTGCTGAGTGTTCTCATTACTAGTAGGAACCAAGATCACTGCAATCGGAAATCTTATCTTATTATTCAATGAATTTTTTAATGCATGATTTGGAAATGTATTAAGTAGCACAAATGCAATGCAAAATGAATGTATGCAAAAGATATTGATCAAAAAATAAATGTTCATAAAACAATTCTCAAAGAACTGGCAATATCTATGTACAGTGGGAAAGCGAAAATCGAAGATTTATGAAATGAAATCTAGATCTATCTTCTAGCTCTTCAACTCCTGTGAGTAGTCGGATAATGCATCGTTCTTCATAACACTTTGGCATCATTAAAATCCATATCAAAGATTAATTAAGCAAGCTCACGGTCTTCAGCTTCTCCCCTCAGCATTGAATCTGTAACCCCCACAGACCGATATGGGTAACCCGATCCGATCTGGAGTGTCACATTAGGGCCACCAGAGCAACCTACTGTAAAAATATCAGAAAATTCAAAACTTTTATTAAAACATGTAAAATCATAAAATGATTTATCAATATTCAGAAATAAAACAAGTTTTCAGACTCAGATATAAAACAAAATACAATCTACATGCCCCCTAATCATA